CTTGTTCACACGGACATGGGCCCGTCTCGCCCGCTGGGGCACTCATTTTGGATGGCTGGGGCCGCAGGCCTAAGGCCCGCCCCATACGCTCCACACGCTGCACATCCGACGACTGGTGACCTTGCTCTGGTGGCGTTTCCCCCCCGCCAGGCAGGCGCCTTCCGCTGACTACATTCCGACTACGCCATGTTGGGTCCTCGGCTGTCTTTGTCGCCACATGGCTCTCCTCCTCCTCCTCCTTTGATTTCAACTGATTTGCGGCTATCGGCTGCGCCCCCCCCCCCCCCCCCCCCCCCCCCCCCCTCTTCCTTCACGACGACTGCAGTGGCGGGCCCTTCGACGTTTTCGTTCTCACGCAATAGGGTGCGCTCATTGTGGCACTGGCAGGTCGGCCCATCCCGGCTTCCTGCACCTGGGGCGCAGTCTGGCAGGGACGGGCTCACCGACTGACGTCCCGCCACACTGACAGCTGCCCCCACGGGCCACCGCCGACGGGGTGGTTCCTTCACGACAGGGGCTCGTTTCACCGCAGTGACAGGCCTTGGCCTTAATACACTCGTGTCACCTCCTGGGGGTGAGGTGCACCTCTCACAACACTGCGTCTAGACTCCCACGGTGCATCGTGGGTTCTTAGTCCGTGTGGTATTGGCTGCAATAATTCCTGCCCGCGGTTCACTTTGGCTTTGTTCACACGGACATGGGCCCGTCTCGCCCGCTGGGGCACTCACTTTGGATGGCTGGGGCCGCAGGCCTAAGGCCCGCCCCGTACGCTCCACACGCTGCACATCCGACGAATGGTGACCTTGCTCTGGTGGCGTTTCCCCCCCGCCAGGCAGGCGCCTACCGCTGACTACATTCCGACTGCGCCATGTTGGGTCCTCGATTGTCTGTGTCGCCACATGGCTCTCCTCCTCCTCCTCCTCCTCCTCCTCCTCCTCCTCCTCCTCCTTTGTATTCAACTGATTTGCGGCTATCGGCTGCGCCCCCCCTCTTCCTTCACGACGATTGCAGTGGCGGGCCCGTCGACGTGTTCATTCTCACGCAATAGGGTGCGCTCATTGTGGCACTGGCAGGTCGGCCCATCCCGGCTTCCTGCACCTGGGGCGCAGTCTGGCAGGGACGTGCTCACCGGTCTGGCGTCCCGCCAGCAGCTTACCTGCGACGTTCTGGCCCGCGTGACGTTCCCCCCTTGTGCATTGGTGTTTCTACTCGACTTCACGTCAAGTCCGCTGGCGCCTGGTTCTGTGAAGGCCAAGCTTCGAGCACATGAGGTGCTTTGTGAGTGAGGCTTACGTGCTCCTTTCTGCTTGCCTTCGGTGCACTTTCACGGGCGGGCTTCTGCCAGGGTTTCAGCTGCCCGCTGTGCCCTGCCCTTCGCCGTCCGGTCTGTCGGGTGCTGGCGCCACTGTGCGACGCCCCGCTGTCAGTCGTCGGCTGCCGTTTTGGATCGGCTTAATGAGGTTCATTTTATTCCTCGCATGTGCATTCCGGCGTTGGCTTTCGGCCCTCTGGCAATTATCTTGCTTGTTGCCCCAAGCTTGTTTCGACCCGCTCTCTGGAATCGTCCTTGGAGCCGCAGATCAAAAAAGTATTTCTGTGGAGGCTTCCTAGGCCTTCTTAGAGGCCATCTTGAAGCCATCCTAGGCCGTCTTGAGGTCATGTTGGGGCGTCTTGGAAACATCATTCGGCCACATTGGGCTTTCTCAGGGCCTTCTTAGCCGACTTAGAGGCGCCTCGTGACCATCTTCAAGGCTACCTGGGGCCATCTTGGCCGCCTTGGAGGCGATTTGGGCAATGGGCTCAGGATTTTTGGAGCTCTTCGGGTGGCGGGCGGGCTCGGGGCGAAACCCCATTTGGGAGTTTTTAAATAATCAAGAGACACCAGACATTCGGCACGTCGTGGGCGGCTGATGCAGTGGCCTTCGGCCCGTCCCGCCGCCGCGCCTGGACTGTCGGTCAGAGGCCCCTGGATGCCTGTGAGGATCTAGCGGCAAACTTCTCGGAATCCTCCTGGATGCAGTTCTTGGGGTTGCTTAGGGCACGTCTCGGTGGGCGCTTGGGGCCTTATTTGGGCCTCTCGGGGCCTCTGGGGAGCCTCTTGGGGCCTCTTGGGGGCACTTCGGGGGCCTCTGAGGGGATGTTGGGGCCATCTTGGGACGGGCTCAACATGTGAGTTTGTGTTCCCCCGCGTGGGCCCCTCTTGAGACTGTCTTGTTGGGCCTCTGGGGCCGTGCGTGGACGATCTCGAGCGCCTCTTGTGCTGTTCAGGACGCTCTGAAAACCGGCATTGCGGTACTACTTAAGCCATACAAGAGCCTATGGCTCTTGACGGTTTTGGCCTCTTGGGCCGCACTCCAGGGCCTCCAAGACATCGCAGGAGGCGCCCAAGAGTGCTCCAGGACGGTCCTCGGGGCCACCTCTGGCGGCCATGCTGGGCAATCATGTCCCGAAAACCGCGCGCCTGGCCCCTGAAAAAGTCACGCGGGCAACCGCGGGAACGCCGAAGAGCACCCGGAATTCCGGGCTGTGGCACCTCCCCTCCCTCTTTCCCTCTTCGGCGGCTGGCTGGACTGCCGGCGGCATGCTGCTGCCAGCCTGTCGCTTTCCGATTCATTAATTAACTAATGTGGGCTGCGCGCCACTAGCGCGCCGGCAGAGGCAAGACCACCAGCATACCTACCTCTTTTCACCCTTTACCCAGGGGCACTCCAACTCGTGCCTCGGGGCACCATGGCGGATCATACATGCGAATTTGCGTTCTTCGCCTTAGGCTTCGGGATTGCGTGCGTCAGGACATAGGGAGCGCCATTTTTAGCAACTCGTAAGGGCTTCGTACTATTGAGAGGTCGATGCCCGAAAGGTCGCGCGACGGCTCGGAGTCGGGGTCGAACAGGGAACGCCAGGCATACCTGCAGTCGCCACAGGAGGAGGAGGAGGAGGAGGAGGAGGAGGAGGAGGAGGAGGAGGAGGACGAGGACGAGGAGGACCAGTGGCAACCCAAGAGTCATCAACGATGTTGGAATTAACCCTCCCTCCAAGCTCCCTCTTCCTAGGCCCCTACAACGGTTCATTTCTTTCCATTGGGGCTACTGCCTCGCTGGAAAACAACAATCTGAAGATCCTGAAGCGTGCCAACACATTGTTCTCAAGATTTCAACGCCACGTATCAACCTGACTGCTGCGTCTTGACGATCCAGAGTCGTGACAGAACGCCATTTTTGGGATTTCAATACAGCGAATCACAATACAGCGAATCAACATAACTGCTGCGCCCGCGAATCCTGAATCGTTCCAACACGCCATTCCTGGAGCGTTGACCGTGGGAATCCGTACAGCTCTTGTAAATTTTAGAAGCGAATGTGCGCGCTGCTGAGGCGAGAGCCGCATTTTGAAACGGAGCCGCCCCCAGTCCTTGAGACTCTTGTATTTTTTGAAGCGAATGCTTGCAGCGCTAAGGCGAGAGCCACATTTTGAAAATGGCCCGCCCTCAATCCGTGAAACTATTGCAATTTGTAAAGACGAATGTGCGCGGCGCTAAGACGAGAGGCACATTTTGAAGCCACCCGTCTTCAATCCGTGAAGCCCTTGCAATTTCTTTAATACGAGTGTGCGCGGCGCCAAGGCGAGAGCCACATTTTGAAAACCACTCGCCCTCAATCCGTGAAGCTCTTGCAAATGTTTAAGACAAATGTGCGCGGCGCGAAGGCGAGAGGCACATCTGAAAACGACCCGCCCTCATTCCGTGAGGCTCTGGCAAATTTCAAAACGAATGTGCGCGGCGCTAAGGCGAGATCCACATTTTGAAAGCGACCCGCATTCCATTTGTGAAGCTGTTCTCTTCTTTCAACTTCAGAGTCATAAGTGGTGAGGAGGTCTCTGGCGAAACTCCTGGTCCGCCCTAAAAACTGGCCTCGGGGTGCGACACGGAGGACTTATCTATAAGGAGAAGGAATGGAGGAGGAGGAAGCGGAGGAGGAGGAGGAGGAGGAGGAGGAGGAGGCGGGGAGGAGGGAGGAGGAGGGAGGAGGAGGGAGGGGGGAGGAGGAGGGGGAGGAGGAGGAGGAGGAGGAGGAGGAGGAGAAAACTTCAAAACAACTCCGCGTGCCGCTGGCTCTTCTGGGGTACCAGGATACTGCTGTACTTGAATTCCCCCTGTCCTTCCTCCTCCCCTCCTCTCCTCCTCCTCTCCTCCCTCCTCCCCCTCCTCCCCCCCTCCTCCTCCTCCTCCTCCTCCTCTCCTCCCTCCTCCTCCTTATCCCGCGCCTGTGAGCAGGGGCTGAGCTGGCGTCGGGCGCAGCGGCCGCGTCGGCCGCAGGGCGACCAGACTCGCGTCCCCACGCTCGGCTCCTCCTCCTTATCCCCTTCCCCTCCCCCCCCTTCCTCCTCCTCCTCCTCCTCCTCCTTCTCCTCCTCTTCCTCCTCCTCCTCCTTGTCCTCCTCCTCCTCCTCCTCCTCCTCCTCCTCCTCCTCCTCATCCTCTGCTCAAAGGTTGGCAGAGTCGCTGAGTTAGCCGCTCGGCCAAACCGTGGGTGCATCTTCTAAAAGATGGCCGAACATCGCTGCAACGGTCTGGCAGTGAGCGTGACGAGGCGGCATCATCCCTCGAAGCTGCTTGATCCTGCGGTCGGCCAGCCCCCCCCCCGCGAGCCCAAGAACCCCCCCCGCTTGAGGCGACGTGGCCCACCTTTGCTCCAAAGAGGCCGATCGATGACCAGCCTGCGTGCCTGGAGCGGATTCTACACTCCACCTCTGAGGCGTTCGAGCTCTGGTTTGCGAGATGGGCGAGACTGCCGCCGTGCACCTTGCGAGACTGCCGCGTGTGACGAGTTCATTTCGGGGCTCCATCGTTCGGAACCTGGCCAGGTTTCGCCGCAGCGAATTCGCTGGCGCAGTGCCGCACGGGGGGGATGCATGCTCATCCTTGTCCCGCCTCTCCCTGTGCGCCTTTTTCTGGTTGCTCGTCTGCCCCTCCGCCGCCTCGGCCCGGCGCCCCCGCCCAGGGGAGATCGTCGCAGTCCGCGCCGATGCTGCCCAGCCTGGACAGGCCGCGGGGAGGGCGCCATGTGAGGGAGGGGGAGGGGCGCCAGGGTTGCTGACCCAGACCCCCGACGTCGTGATTTTTTCACGACCGTCGACCCCCAGAGGTCTCGACCCATTCCCCCAGGACCGGCTTTTCGTCCCGAGTCGTTCTTCGACGGCCCCGAGGCCCGGGAAGAGGGCCCCTCCGGAGGCCCAGACTGGCGACAAACCTCCCGTCGTACCTGTTCGCAGCGCGAGGAGGTCTGGGGAGGGGGCGGGAGGGACGGGTCCACAGCTGCGGCAGTCCCAGCGTCAGGCCTCGCCCTGCAGGGGGCCGCAAGGCGACGCTGGCAGCGCTTCTCCTCGGCGCGCCGGGCGGCGGAGGGCCGGCGGAGCGCGCGGCGGAGGTGGATTGTAAGTCGGGCGTGTCCCTGCACAGGAGGATCTGGACGCCCGAAATGGGTACTCCAGATTCCATAACAAAGGGGGGTGCGTCACATGTGGGGGGGGGGTCTGATTCGAGCTGTCTTGGAGTTTTCGGAGGGGGTCTGGGCAAAGGGCCGCCCTTTCATGGATGGTCTGGGGGGATCTAAAACTTCTCGTCTGGGAGGGTTGTGACCCCCTCCCTTTTATCACGAAATCTGGAGTACGGAAAGAATGGGTACAGTGCCCAACAGCAGTTACTGTGCATTTGGCACAGGAATCGCTGTCCGCGCCGCCGCGGCCTGTGTCCATTCGAGACAGAAGGCCGCCTGCCCAACAGCGGTCGCTGTTGGTTTGGGACAACATTTGTTGTTGGGCATTGTGCCCATTTTTTCCGTACCCATTTTGGGCCTCCAAGGAGGAACATTCCCAAATAGTTAAAGGATGGTATGGGGATTACGCTTTGACTATGTGTGACCTTTTTTGCATACCTGGTGGACCATTTCTTAGGTCTCGACCAAGATCCGCCTGTTGGGGGACCCGCCCGACCGAAAGGTAGGTAACATGGGGACGTCCCCGCGGGCGGAGGCCGGCGGAGGGCGGGCGGGAGCCTGCGGAAGCAGAGCTCGTTCCTGAGACATGCTACTTGTTGTTTTGATCGAGGGTTTTTGGGAACTGTGCATCTCTCCGAGGACCCTGGCTCCCAGAGATCCGAGTTTTTTTTTTTTGTTCCAATCCAGCGGCTTTCCCTGGAGTTTGGCCTCCGGGGCGCGTCACCGGGCCCGGGGACCATCACAACTGGATCTGCGACGACAAACCATCCCCGAAGAAGGGGTCGGGACCTCCAGGGCCGCAGATTGAAAAAATCAGATCGGCGGATGTCCGGGCTCCGACCCAAAAAGCCTTGGGCAAGAGCTCCTCCCTGGTGGTCGAGCCAGCCGTCCTGTCGTGAGCTCTCATGGGGCCAGGCGGCTGCGGGCCACGAGTGGATGTCTTAGCAGAAGGGTGAGTGGGTAGCTGGGTGGGCAGCTGGATGCGAGGGGCACGGAACGCAGGCGGGGTGAAACGGGGGGAACATATATGCCAATTATGGATGTCGGTTGCTGCCTCCGCCGCCGACGGCGGCGAGAACGCGGCGGCGGCGACGGCAGCGGGCGGGCAGGCACCGCGCCGAGAAGCTGCTGCAGAAGCAGCAGGCGCAGTGCGCCAGCATCCTGGAGAAGGTCCAGGCTCGGCTGGCGCCCGAGGGCGGCCCTCTGCCGGAGTGGCCTCTGGTCCGCGGCCTCCGGGCCCGAGCGCGAACCCGCCCCGAGCGCGCGGGTCGCCGCTGCCGCACCGTGGAGTGCCCAGCAGGCTGCGCACCAGTTTTTTGTTTGTTTGTTTTTTGTTTGTTTGTTTTTTGTTTGTTGTTGTTATTGTTGTTGTTGTTGTTGTTGTTCTTGTTGTTGTTGTTGTTGTTGTTGTTGTTGTTGTTGTTGTTGTTGTTGTTGTTGTTGAACATTATTTCTTCTTAAGAATAATTATTGTTGGGACCCCTGGTGCACGACCCCCCCGCCGCGCCTAGGCCGCAGCCACATTTTCATCATTTTCGTGAGGAAGTCTCAGGCAAAACGGGGGCGTCTGGATCCGGTTGTGTTGTTACGATCGGTTTTCGATTGCAAAAAATATGCTAAAGTGGACACTTCTTGTTCTAAAAGAACCAAACTTCACGAATCCCTTGCAAAAAATAAGGTAAAGTGGACATTCGCGCGCGCAAGACGAAATCCTTCCAAAACCTTAGTGTTCGTAGCGATTTTAACATAAAAACATCAAACAACCAATGGTTTTTCAAAAAAAATGTCAAAATTTCATCCCGCGCGCTCTTGCGGATTCGTAGGAAACCCAACACTTTTTAAACATTTCTGTCAAACGGGCTTTTGCGAGCAACTTTTTCGAACTTCTGCAACAACGGTTGCGCACCTGCCAGGGCCATCATCCCTGTCAAATAATACCATGCGGGACACATTCGTTTTTTCTTCGCGCGCGCACGCCGTCGTCGTCGGCCGCGGGGCCCTGAATAGTAGCCACGGTCGTCCGCATGCCACGAAGTGAAGTGTCCGAACGTCATAGGGCGGGAAGCTGGGTGTGGGTGGTGGCGAAGAGTCGTTTGGAAATTTGGTAGAGCTTGAACCGGCCCCCCCACAAAGTGGGGGTATTGCCCGCCTCCTATGAAAACCCTGGCACTGGTGAGAACGGAGTGTCCCCACGTGCTAGTAATTGTTGTTGTTGTTGTTGTTGTTGTTGTCGTTGTTTACTTTGCTGTTTTTGTGTTGTAGTTGCTGTTGCTGTTGCTGTTGCTGTTGCTGTTGTTGGTGGTATTGCTGTTGTTGGTGGTGGTGTCGGTGTCGGTGTCGGTGTTGGTGTTGCTGTTGCTGTTGCTGTTGCTGTTGCTGTTGCTGTTGTTGGTGGTATTGCTGTTGTTGGTGGTGGTGTCGGTGTCGGTGTTGGTGTTGGTGTTGGTGTTGCTGTTGCTGTTGCTGTTGTTGTTGTTGCTGCTGTTGTTGTTGCTGTTGTTGTTGTTGCTGTTGTTGTTGCTGCTGCTGCTGCCGCTGCTGCTGCTGCTGTTGTTGTTTGTTTTGTTGTTGTTGTTGTTGCTGTTGTTGTTGCTGCTGCTGCTGTTGTTTTTTATTAGTGTTGTTGTTGCTGCTGCTGCTGCTGTTGTTGTTGTTGTTGTTGTTCATGTTGGTGAACTTTCATTCCTTAAGAATAATTATGGTTGATCCCCCTTCACCGGTGCATACTGTTTTTTCTCAGTCGAAGTGTGCCCCTCGACGCTCGCACCCTGTTTTTTTGGACAGGGAACGTCTTCCTGGTCAAACGGGGCCCTTGGCCCCCTGTATTGCAGCAACAACGGCTCCCGCCTGAGACTTCCCCAAAATTCACTCAGGACCCCCGCCCCTGAGACTTCCCCACAATTTACTCAGGATCGGTGCTCCCACTTGTGGCTTCCTCGCAATTTAGTCAGGACCCCCGCTCCCATCTGAGACTTCCTCACAATATACTCAGGAACGGCGCTCCCGCTTGAGACTTCCTCGCAATTGAATCAAGCTTTCCTCGCAATTTAATCAAGACCCCCGCTCCCACCAGAGAACCTTTCCCAATTTATACAGGAGTTGCGCACTCGCTTGTGACTTCTATGCAATTTATTCAGAAATCGCGCTTTCGACGCTCAGGAAACACGCTGCGTCAAGGACGCCGTTAATATTTACTTAGGAATCGCGCTCTCGCCATACTCAGGCATCCCGCTTGAATGTCCCACCCGCCCGACCCGCCCGTCAGGGGATTGCCCGCCCGTCGTGGGCTCCCGCCCGAGACTTCCTTCAGGAACGGCGCTTTCGCCTAGGACTTCCTCGAACGTTCACGCTCTTACCTTCCTGCTCCTCCTCCTTCTCCGTCCTCCCTCCTCCCTCCTCTCCTCCCTTCTTTCTCCCTCCTCTGTTCCCTCATCCTGATGCCTCTCTGCCCTATCCCCTCGCCCTCCCCTCCCTCTTCCCTTCTCGCTCCCCTCTCCTGCCTCCTCCCTTTCTCTTTGTTTTTCTCTCTCTTTCCCCTCTCTCTCTCTCTTTCTCAACCTCTCTTATCTGTCTTTTTCTTTCTCTCTATCTGCCTCTAATCAACCTCCCCCTCTTCGCTCCTTCTCTCCTGGCGTTTTCCCTCTTCCTTCGTCCCTCCCCCTCCCTCCCACTCTCCCTCGTTCTCCCCCTCTTCTTTTTGCAGGGCCCGCACCAGTTCCAATGGCGGGCACATGTACGCCCACGAAGGATTGTCCGCCCGTTCAGGTTTGCCCGCCTGTCTAAGCCCGCCGCCCCCCGCAAAGAGAAAGACTCCCCCCAAAGGGGGTGTGACCGAAGACAAAAGAGGGCGGGTATCGAGGATGTGGGGAACTCATTGTGAATGACACGCGGGCAAGTAAGAGCGAACAGCCTTATGATGATTGTTGGTGTTGTTGTTGCTGCTGTATGTCTATACCAGTCTCTAACAAACAAAAGCACACACACACACACACACACTCTTGTTGTTAAAACATGCTGCGCACCAGAGGTCACCCTGGCCCAGGGCCACCCTTGGGCGCTTGGCCGACAGGTGCTCGAGGCAATGAGGTCCGCTGGCCGGCTCCAGGACCCCAGGCGGCGGCTGCGCGGGCCGAACCAGGTCATGTCGGCGGCCGTGCTGCAGCCGCTGCCGCCGCTGCCCCAGCTGCCCGCGGGCCTGGTCATCGGCGTTCCCGCCGCGGCCCCCGACGGCTGGGACGGCGGTGTGCCGCAAGAGCCCGTGCCAGAAGACCTCCCGGAACAGCAGGGCGGCGAGGCGTTTGGGCGTCGCGTCACCTGACCTTCCAGGAGGGCTAAAAGTAGCACCAGGACCTTGACGTCTAAATTCCTGCCGAGGTTTCAAGCAGTCCAGACAGGTCTATAGGTCTGGAGAGCTATTTTTTAGCACTCTGGAAGCTCAGGGTCATGGGGGAGCGAAACTGGGGGTGCAGCGAGGGCTGCAGACAATGGGCACTTTGGGGCCCCTGAGGGGCCCTGGAGGGCCTCAAAGGAGCCCTGTCGGGCCCGAGCAGCGCACCTTCCCAAAACAATCCAGCGGCTCCAATTTTTTTGATGCGTGGGCCCCTGAGGTCCGGACCACTTCCCGTTTGGCGTCTCCGCCTGTGTTTTGTCGCTCCCGAGGCCCGGCGAGGGCCCCCAGAGGTTGAAAACGGATCAAATCCCGCCGCTCCAATGTTTTTGGAGCGCCGGATCTCTGGGTCCTTCTCCCGCATTGATCGCCTCCCGCATTCCCAGGCCCCCGACGTCATGATTATTTTCCGACGTCGACCCCCAGAGGTTTCGACCTGTTCCCCCGGGACCGGTTTTTCATCCTGAGTCGTTTTTTGGCGGCCCCGAGGCCCGGGAAGGGCCCCCGGAGGCCGAAACTAGCGACAAGTCTCCTGTCGGAACTTTTCTGGGTTGACCCAAAAGGGGTCCAGCGACACGGGGGTGGTGCAATAAATTTGGTGCAATTGATTTGTGGGGTTGCAATACATATGGGGCGTGCAGTACGATTTGGGCCGCAAATGTATTGCTGGGTTTTCGCGTGCACTACATTACTTGCAATACAACGCAATCGAACTCTCCGGCGCCGTACATCTGCAATACCATTGCCCAAGTCTGTTGCACCACCCCTGTCCAGCTGGACCCCCTTTCGGGCCATCTAAAACCTTTTTTTTTCACAACGCGAGGAGGTCTGGGCCCCTTCCCCTGCAGTGATCGCCCCCTCGCAGCGAGGCGACGCTCCAGGCGTGGCCCGAGGAGGCCGAGGCGGCGCCCAGCGGCGCCAGCCCGCGGGGCTCCGAGGCGCCGTGCGCGGCGCCCCCGGCCGCCCCCGAGGCGGCGCGGGAGCCCAGCCCGCGCGAGGGCGGCGGCCGTTTGACGCCGCCGAGGCTGGAGTTCGAAGTCGGGCATGTCCCTGTGCAGCCCCAGGCCCCCTCGAGCAGTGAAGACACATCATTGCGGGCGGTTTGTCGCTGTTTTCGGCCTCCGGGGGTCCGCACCGGCCCTCGGTCGGGGCCGTCAAAGAACGGCCCGGGACGCAAAACGGGTCCTGGGGAATGGGTGGAGACCTTTGGGGATCTACGTCATGGAGAAATCATGACGCCGTGGGTCTGGGCCTACAGGATGAGCATGCAAGAATAGGCACCAATTGGTCCGGGGGCGATTTTCCGATTATGGTTCGACTATGCTTGAGGAATATTTTGTGACTATTCCTTTTTTCGTCCGTCCAAAATCCGCCTGCAGGAGGACATGCCCGACCTAAGGCTGGAGAGGTACACCGGCAGGAGCCCGGAGGCGACCTGGCTGCCCGTCCCGGAGGCCTGGCGGCGCGCGCGAGGGTCACCCCCAGACCCCTTCGAGTGATGAGAAGTCACGGCGGGAGGTCTCTCACAATTGTCGGCCTCTGGGGGCCCTTCCCGGGCCTCAGGTCTGGACGCCCGAAATGGGTATTGAAAGAATGGGTGCAATGCCCAACAGCAGTTCCTGTTCAATTTGGACAGGATTCGCTGTCCACGCCGCCGCGGCTTGTGTCCATTTGAGACAGAGTGCCGCCTGCCCAACAGCGGCCGCTGTTGGTTTGGGGCAACATTTGCTGTTGGGCATTGTACCTATTTTTTCGGTACCCATTTCGGGCGTCCAAATCAGGACTGTCAAAAAACGACTCAGGATGAAAAGCCTGTCCCGGGGAGTAGGTCGAAACCGTTGGGGGTCGGCGTCATGAAAGAATCATGGCGTCGGGTGGCGTGCCCGGGCCCCCATCGGTCTAGGCCTCCTAGATGGGGTCCGAGCAGATGGGGTCTGAGGATCGCGCCGCACCGCCGCTGCATCGCCGATGCGGCTCGATGTGGAGTCCGCTTTTTTCCACGCCGACGTCGCCGATGCGTCGCCGGTGCATCACCGATGCATCGCCGATGCATCGCCGATGCATTGGCGATCTGGCGCGATCCTCCGACCCCATCTACTCGGACCCCATCTAGGAGCCCTCTTGTCGAGTCATGGCCAAAATCACGCTGGGCTTTTTTTCGCTGTTTCCTGTCTCCGGGGGCCCTTGCCGGGCCTCGGGGCCGTCAGAGAGCGACTCAGGACGAAAACCCGGTTCCGGGGAATGGGTCGAGACCTTTGGGACTCGACGGTGTGGAAAGTCATGACGTCGGGGGTCTGGGAAGGGGGTGGCGTGAGTCGGGCGGCCTTCTCGGAGGGAGCTTCCAGGGAGGCGGGGGGGGGTCCTTCTTGGAGGCCCCGCCCCTGGCTCTTGGAAGGAGCCCTCTCGGGAACCTCCTGCCTTCAAGAACCCTCCCAGGCTTCTTGCCAGGAGCCCAGACCCCCGACGTCATGATGCTTTCACTGCGTCACCCCCCGAGGTCTCGACCCATTCCCCAGGACCGGTTTTTCATCCCGAGCCGTTTTCTGACGGTCCCGAGGCCTGGAGAGGGCCTCCCGAGGCCGAGAATAGGGAAAAGCCTCCCGCCATGCTGTTTCCTTCCTCGAGGGAGGCCTGGTGCCTCGAAGCTGGAAGAGGACCCCCAGGCTTAGCCAGGAAGCTGGAAGATGACAGAAGCCGTGGCCCGCCTAATTAGGCGAGCGCTGGATGCACACGTGCCCAGACCCCCGACGTCATGATTTTGTCACGACGTCGACCCGCAGAGGCATCGACCTGCTCCCCGGGACGTTTTTTTCATCCTGAGCCGTGTTTTGACGGCCCCGAGGCCCGGCAAAGGGCCCCCAGAGGCCGACAATGGCGAACAACCTCCCGCCGTGATTTTCCTCACTGGTCTGGGTTGGCCAGGAAGCTGGAAGAGGACAGCAGCCGCGACTCGCCCGGGCGAGCGCTGGGTGCACACGTGGCCGGACGTCCCTCCGGCGGTCGGCCGTGCTGCGGCCCGTGGCGGAAGGGGCCTCCCTCGGGCGTGCCCCGTCGCGCGCTGCGGCTGCTGGCCCTGGGCGCTCTTCCAGCCTCCTGGAGCCCAGGTCCCCTCGAGGCCTCCCCCTGGAGCCCAGCCCAGACCTCCGACGCATTGACAAAAATCAAGACGGAGGTTTTTCTAGATTTCGGCCTCTAGCGGCCCTCGCCGGGCTCCGGGACCGTCAAAAAACGACTCAGGATGAAAAGCCGGTCCTGGGGAATGGGTCGAGACTTCTGGGGACCCCGTATTGAAAAAATCACGACATCGGATCTCTGGGAGACCCCCTCGAGCAAGGAGCACAAGAGAGATCGCGACGGGAGGCCTGTCGCCATCTTCGGCCTGCGGGGGCCCTTCCCGGGCCTCGGGGCCGTCGACACAGAGGACCCATGAGGACACACCGGTTCCGGGGAAGGGGTCGAAACAGTTGGGGGTCGACGTTCGGGGGCGGCCAAGATGGGTTGTGATGACTAGGGGGGGGTGGATATCATGGCGGGGGCCATGATATCTCCCCAGATTTCATGGCGCCTCTTCTTATTCCAATACGTCCCTGGCCCCTCTCCCCCTGGGCCGCGCACGTGCCGCCGTCCATGATTTGCGCCCCCCCCTCTTGGACACCCCCCTCTTGGCCGCCCCCGAGACGTCAGAAAATCAGGACGTCGGGGGTCTGGGAGGAGGGCCGCCCTCCTCGTGGCAGCCACCCTTCAGATATGCTCGTTCTGGGGGCCTTCCCAGGGCCCACCTCAGGAATCCGTTCGACCCCACTTCGGCTCAAGTTCGACCCAGAGTCGACCCAGGTTCGGCTCAGGCTCGACTCAGGCTCGACTCGAGCTCGACTCCAGTCGACGGACGTTCGACGCAGCTCCAGCGCAAGAGTGGAGCGAGTGGCTCCGCGAAGGCCCCCAGAAGGAGCTTCTAGCACCCCAGACGTGCGGCCGCTCCCATGGTTTTCGATGCGTGGGCCCTGGAGGCCCAGACCCCTTCCCCAAAACAGGGCCGGTGTGGCGCCCCAGGCTGCTCTCTGACGCTCCCCAGGCCTGGCAGAGTGCCCCCCCCGGAGGCCGAACACGGCCCAAGAGAATCCCGCCGCTCCACCGCTGTTTCTGGCGCGGCGGAGCCCTGGGTTCCAGCACCCCTTGTGCGCGCCGGCAGTCAGGAGGCCGCTGCGCCCCCCGCGCCGGAGGACGCGGCCGCGGCCCAGGCGGCGGCGGCGGCCGTGGCCGCGGACTTCTCCACCTGGGCGGAGGAGGAGCGCCGCGCGCGCGCCGCGAGGCTCGCGGCGCGCCAGACGCGCCAGCAGCGCGACGCTGGCGACGACGAGCTGGCCGCGGCGGTGGCTTCCGAGGCTGGGCACCAGAAGCTTAGGTGATCGATGCGCGATCCTCCTCTCTTCCTCGATCCTAGATCCTCGATGCTCCCCCTCCCCTGGCTCCCCTTCCCCTTTCCTCCCTGCCTCCCTTTGTTCCCCTTCCCCTCTTCTCGATCCTCGAGATCTTCGATGCTCCTCTCCTCCTCGATCCTCGATGCTCCTCGAGGCCGGGCACGAGGAGAGCCTGACCGCCGCGCGGGAGGAGGCGCGGCGGGCGCGGCGCGCCCTGGAGGAGGCGCAGCGGACCTCGGAGGAGATCCGCGCCGCGGAGGCCGCCCGGGAGGAGGCGAGGCGGCTCGAGCAGCTCACCGTCTTCGACGCGGCGCCCGGCACTGACCAGTCCACTCGTGCGGCCTTCCGCGCGCAGCGGCGGGCGGAGGCTCAGGGCGGCGCGCTGGCCAGGGCCAAGGCCGCCGTCGGCAGCGGCGACTGGGACCTGCAGGCCGCCGAGGTCGTCGGCGAGGCTGCGGAGGCCGTGCAGCGGGAGCGCGTGGCAGCCGAGGCTGCTGCGCGGCGGGCCGAGGAGCTTCTGGCCACAGATGCAGCGGCGGCTCTCGGAGCAGAGGCGGAGCTCGCGGCCGCCCAGGTGGAGGATGAGCGCCTGGCTTTGGAGGCGGGTGCGACAGCGCAGGCCGAGGAGGACCGCGCGGCCGCGGAGGCAACGGAGGCCGCGAGGCAGGCCGAGGATGCCGCTCTGGCCGAGGAGGAGCAACTGGCCGCGGAGGCGCAGGCCGCGAGGCAGGTCGAGGAGGAGCGCAGGGCCCTGGAAGCGGAGGTTGCCGCTCTGGCCGAGGAGGAGCGACTGGCCGCGGAGGAGGAAGAGGCCGCGAGGCAGGCCGAGGAGGACCGTACTGCCGCGGAGGCGGAGGCTGCCACCCTGGCCGAGGAGGAGCAACTGGCCGCGGAGGCGCAGGCCGCGAGGCAGGTCGAGGAGAAACGCAGGGCCCTGGAAGCGGAGGTTGCCGCTCTGGCCGAGGAGGAGCGACTGGCCGCGGAGGAGGAGGAGGAGGAGGAGGAGGAGGAGGAGGCCGCGAGGCAGGCCGAGGAGGACCGTACTGCCGCGGAGGCGGAGGCTGTCACCTTGGCCGAGGAGGAGCAACTGGCCGCGGAGGCGCAGGCCGCGAGGCAGGTCGAGGAGAAACGCATGGCCCTGGAAGCGGAGGTTGCCGCTCTGGCCGAGGAGGAGCGACTGGCCGCGGAGGAAGAGGAGGAGGAGGAGGCCGCGAGGCAGGCCGAGGAGGACCGCACTGCCGCGGAGGCGGAGTTTGCCACTCTGGCCGAGGTGGAGCAACTGGCCGCGGAGGCGCAGGCCGCGAGGCAGGTCGAGGAGAAACGCAGGGCCCTGGAAGCGGAGGTTGCCGCTCTGGCCGAGGAGGAGCGACTGGCCGTGGAGGAGGAGGAGGAGGAGGAGGCGCAGGCCGCAAGGCAGGTCGCGGAGGAACGCACCGCCATGGAGGCGGAGGCTGCGGCTCTGGCCGAGGAGGAGCAGCGGGTCGCGGAGGCGCAGGCTGCGAAGAAGGCCGAGGAGGACCGCACGGCTGCGAAGGCGGAGGCTGCCGCTCTGGCCGAGGAGGAGCGACTGGCCGCGGAGGCGCAGGCCGCAAAGCAGGCCGAGGAGGACCGCGCGGCCGCGGAGGCGGAGGCTGCGGCTCTGGCCGAGGAGGAACGCGCGGCCGCGGAGGCCGCGAGGCAGGCCGAGGAGGACCGCGTGGCCGCGCAGGCGGAGGCTGCCGCTCGGGTCGAGGAAGATGCAGAGGCTGCGCGGCAGGCCGAGCGGGTCAGGGTGGAGGCGGCCCTGCTCCGCGCGGAGCAGCGCCTCGCCGCGGAGGCCGCGGAGGACGTCCGGCCGCACTGGCGTCTCCCCCGCCGTGCTCTTTGCTCGCCTTCCCGCCTGCTCCCTCCTCTCCTCGAAGAAGACACTCAGCATAACGCAAACCTTTCGGCGCTGGCCGCGGATTTCTTGGACCGGCGCTGGGCCCCCCTGGCGGTGCCTGCGGCGCCTCCCCTGGTGCGCTCCACGCGCCAGGGAGGGAGGTCCATCGCAGATCCAAGAAATCCGCGCGGACCGTCGATCGTCGACCTAACAGGAGGGTTGGGGCCCGAAGGACGAGGCACTCAGACAGTGAAGGTGTCATCCGTGATCCGCTTACTATACCCTGAGGGGACCGCCCACTCCAGCGCCCCTGTGCTCGGAACTCCTCTCCGTCGCTTCCCCTCCGTCCTCTCTGCTGTGCGGGTTGCCTGCGGTGGGGCCGCTCGTTGGGGAATGTGCTCGGCATGCTGCAGATCTTGGCGGGCCTCCTACCTGATGAGGGCGGCGGCGACATCCATGGTCGATCATTGGGCGCGTTCCACTGCTCGCAGGGTGCCTACTCGCAAGCGTCCGAACAGACATGTGCTCCTCTTTGTAATGTATCGTGGATCCCCCGCGGCGGATCCTGGCCACTTGCGAGTAAGTACTCTGCGAGTAGTGGCACGCGCTTGTCCAGTCAAGCCTAAGTCGGTGTTCCACCAGCTTTCAGGCCCTGGATTCCCAGACCCCCGACGTCATGATTTTTTCGTGACGTCGACCCCCCAGGGTTTCGACCTGTTCCTCCGGGACTGGTTCTTCATCCTGAGTCGTTTTTTGACGGACCCGAGGCCCAGTAGGGGCCCCCAGAGGCCGAAAATGGCGAGAAACCTCCCGCCCTGATTCTTTCGTTGCTCGAGGGGGCTTGGGTTCCTCCTCCGATCGTTTCCCTGCCCCAGCGCTCTCGCCGCACCAGTCGCCCACCTACCCAGACCCCCGAGGTCATGATTTTTTCATGACGCGACCCCCAGAGGTCCAGACCCGTTCCCCAGGACCGGCTTTTCATCCTGAGTCGTTTTTTGACGGTCCTGAAGGCCGGTAATGGTCCCCTAAGGCCGAAAATAGCGAAGAACCTCGCGTCGTGATTTCTTCATGACTCGAGGGGGTCTGGGTATTCCTCGCCGCCGATGGAGAGAGGGCCGAGCGAGCCCACCCCGCCCAGGGAGAGCGCGCGCGGCCTCGCCGCTCACTCCTGGGGCCCCTCTCGCCGCGGCTGCCTCGGCGGCGCGCCTCGCCGAGCCCCCGGCCGGTGCCGGCCCCCCTTGCGGGGCCGGCCCCTCCCCGAGGGTCGCGGCCCCGCCGCCAGGGAGCGGCCCCCAGGGCCCCCCAGGGAGCAAGGAACGAGAAGTCACGGCGGGAGGTTTTCGTGGCCATATTTTCGGCCTCCATGGGTGCCCCTGCCGGGCCTCGGGGCCCTCGCGGAGCGACGCGGGAGGCCAAGCCGGTGCTGGGGAGCGGGTGGAGGCCTCGGGGGGGGGGTCCACGTCGGGGGTCTGGGTGCTGGGGAGCGGGTGGAGGCCTCGGGTGCTGGGGAGCGGGTGGAGGCCTCAGGACGTCGGGGGTCCGGGCCCCCAGGAGGCGGCGGAGGCGGCGAGGCGCGCGGAGGAGGAGCGGCTGGTGGAGGAGGCGGCCTCCGCCGCCGCCCGCGGGCCGCAGGGAGGGCTCGGCTTCCCCGGGTGTCTCCTCCTCCTCCTCCTCCTCCTCCTCCTCCTCCTCCTCCTCCTCCTTCTCCTCCTCCTCCTCCTCCTCCTCCTCCTCCTCCTCCTCCTCCTCCCCGCCTCCTCCTCCGCCCCCGGTCGGACCGAGGTGTAAGATCGAGGTCGGTTCGGGGAGGGTGCCCTAAGGTTCTTCGTGCTTGCTGGATGGTCTTGTGCATCCTGGGGCAGGGCACCCTCGAATGTCCTTCAGTTTGGCTGGCGGAGGGTCTCATGTTCTTGAAGGATGTTCTTCTGTCCAAGGTCTGGCCGTAGTCCCTGGGTGCTAGTCGGTTCCGCGGTGCGGATTGTCGCTGTTCCGTAATTGTCGTTTTTTTCTCTTGTTGCTGTTCTTGATTGAGGCCCTGAATGACGGCTTGGCGCAATTGTTGACGCTTCGCGTATCCCCACCATCTGTTGTTCTTCCTGGACCTCCGCGTTTCCTGAGCCGCAGCGTAGCCCGCTCCTGTGCGCTCCGTTGCGTAGTTGAGGCCGTTGCATGGATGCTTCGTTCTGATGGCGCGCGGCTGTGCCGTTTGCGCTCGCGATCCAAAAAGTATCCCCACCAGCTCATCTAGAAACGATATTCAGACGAATTGCCATGATCAAGGACGTGGGGGAGCATACAGAGGAACATAACCGTCGTACCCTAAGAGGGGGAAGAAAGAGGAGGATGAAGAGGAGTAGGAGGAGGAGGAGGAGGAGGAGGGGGAGGAGGAGGAGGAAGAGGGAGAGGAGGAGGAGGAGGGGGAGGAGGAGGAGGAGGAGGGCGAGGAGGAGGGAGAAGGAGGAGGAGGAGGAGGATAACGTGGAAACGGAGGAGGAGGAAAACAACAAGAACTGATTGTAATACTAAGGTGACGAACAACAATATTTGGAATAAGAGAAATAAGCATCTTAATAATATGAATAATAACGGTACTAAGGAAAACACTCGTACTAAGGAGAACAATCATACCAATACACATACGAGTAATATTACTAATGCAAATGACAACACTATAATTACTAATCATAGAATAAGAAAAATAAGAATAGTCGTGCCAATACCAAGAAAACGTTACTACCAATGGTACTTGTATTTTTAATCGTAATCATGGGAATAAGAAGAGGAGTATGATTATGATTATGATGATGATGACGAGGAGGAGGAGGAGGACGAGGAGGAGGACAAGGGCGAACAGAAGAGCCAGAAGCCTCTTGAATGCCTCTCGGAGTATCCTCCGATGTCGCTTGGAAAGTTTTTGGATGCCTCTAGGGGCGTCTGGGGGGGCATCTTGGCGGGCCCAGGGCCGTTATTGAGCGTCTTGGGTGCTTCGGGAGTCGTCTTGAGGCCTCTTGGTTTCTTGGGAGCCTCTTGGTTGCCCTTTGGGCGCCTCTTGGAGCCGTCTGGGCACCTCTTGAGACCCTCTTGGGGCGCTGGGAGCTTTAGGTGCGCTATTGGGGCCATCTTGAATGACATCGATCAAACGAGGGGAACACCAATTATGGTTCCTCCTCGGGTGCCCAAAAGATCGCCTCTTGTGGCACTCTTTGGGTGCTCTTGGAGCGCTCTTGGGCGCTCTGGGGGCCGTCTTGGAGCTCTTGTGGACCCCTCCTGGGGCAATTTGGAGCCATCTTCAGGCCTCGGATGGCCATCGGAAGCGAAAACACATGGTAGGTATTGGAAGGATTTTGGCCTCTTGGCGGTCTCCTGGGGAGGCTTTCTGGCCACTTGGGCACGTCCTGGAGCGGTCTTGAGGCTTCTTGGGGCATCTCTGGAGCCATCTTGAGCAACCTTCAGGCATCTTGAGCCATCTTGGAGGCCATCTTGGACTCGAGGCGCTCTGGGAGCCGTCTTGGGCCATCTTGGCCGCTCCAGGGCGTCGCGGGGGCGCCTCGTCCAGGTCCAGGGGGGTGTGTGGGGGGAGGTGTGGAATCCTTCCCCGAAGGGAACGGGGTTGGGAGGGGAGCCTCCCTGGACCACCTGCGGCCAGAGGGCGGGCGGGGCTCCAGCAACCCCCAGCAACCCCAGGCCCCCCCCCCCCCAGGGTGGAGCTCCTTGACCCTGCCCGCTGTGGGGAGGGGGGGGGGGCGAGGGCCGGGAGTGGGACGGAGCACAGCCAGCTAGAACCAATCCCAGCCACAATGGTACGAACTGCAACCCCGTTGGTACTGATTCCAGCCACTCGAGGAGACATTCCACCAACTCGAGGAGAAATTCCAGCCACTCGAGGAGACATTCCACCAACTCGAGAAGAAATTCCAACCACTCGAGGAGACATTCCACCAACTCGAGGAGAAATTCCAACCACTCGAGAAGGAGTTCCGACCACTCGAGGAGGAGTTCCAATCACTCGAGGATTGATTCCAACCGCTCGAGGAGGAATCCCAGCCCCTCGAGGAGGAGTCCCAACCAACCTCTGTGAGAGAAGGCCCCACAGGCGTCTTGGAGGCGTCGCACAGGGCGTCTTCGCGGCGGCGTGCGGGCGTCTCCGAGGCACGTCGTACGGGTCACCCGCCGCCAGCGGGTGGAGGCGGGCGTGTCGCCCGGGGAGGTGGCAGCCGCGCCGGGGGAGGCCGGGAGCACGCCCGTCGCGGGCGAAGCGGCGTGGAGAGGGGAGAGTTACCACCCACGAAGCCACCCCAACCCAACCCGAAGGCCTCAATTTGCCCTCCATTTCCAGTGTGTGTGTGTGTGTGTGTGTGTGTGTGTGTGTGTGTGTGTGTGTGTGTGTGTGTGGGGTCGGGTGTGTGGGGTCGGGGAGCAGTGAACAAAACACATATGAAGTCAGAAAGGGGGTGGAGACAGGAGGCGGGGGCGGTGGGAGCGGCAGACGCATGGGAGCACGCTCGAAGACTTGTATTTGACCCCAGAGCAGATAAAAGGGTTTCGAACACAGCTATATCCTTCCCTCCCTCTCTCCATCGCCTCCTCTCGGTCTTCCTTCTATCACAGCTGCTTTCTTAGCCCGTCCCGTCTAGCGAGAGTGGGAGCTCCCAGCGGTGTTTTCTCGGTTGTCAGCAAGAAGCTGCGTTCAGGGGTAGCAAGCGCTATGGCGCCCTGACTGCGGGCAGGCGGGCTAGGATTTCATCGAGGCGCAATCCAATCCAATCCAATCCAATCTTCCTTCGCCGTCGTCGTGAAAGGAGGAGGAGGAGGAGGAAGGAGGAGGAGGAGGAGGGAGGAGGAGGAGGATGAGGAGGAGGAGGAGAAGGAGGAGAAGGAGGAGAAGGAGGAGCAGGAGGAGGAGAAACAATAATGAAACAATAACAGGATATACCATAGATCGGTACCGCTCAGATCGGGACGCTCTGGCGTTGCCGCGGCTAGATATCCTGGTCAAAAATTTGGTCAGAAAGCTTTCCGAAGTCCTGGTGATCAGCGAAATCCGTATATCGTGTATCCTCGCCGTCGTCGTTGTCGTCGTCGTCGTCGTCGTCGTCGTCGTCGTGATGGTCGTCGTCGCAGTCGCCGTCGCCGTCGCCGTCGTCGTCGTCGTCGTCGTCGTCGTCGTCGTCGTCGTCGTGATGGTCGTCGTCGCCGTCGCCGTCGCCGTCGCCGTCGCCGTCGCCGTCGCCGTCGCCGTCGTCGTCGTCGTCGTCGTCGTCGTCGTCGTCGTCGTCGTCGTCGTCGTCGTCGTCGTCTCTCCAGGGCTGCGCTCTGGCCAAGATCTCGAGGCGACCCCAGCCGCGGCGGCCAGGGGCCCCTCCGGGAGGCTCCACAAGAACACCGTCGGTGCCCCTTACCGCCGCCCTCGCCGTCGCCGCCGTCCGTCCTGAGGGTGGAGGAGGAGGAAGGGGGAGGGAGGAGAGGAGGAGGGACCCTGGAGAGCGACGGGGGGGGGCCTTTGGGCGCCCGCGAAGCCTCGGGAGGAGAGGGCGGCGCATGCAGCGAAATGCCAGTCGAAGGGGTGGGCTCCTCCTCTTTCCCTGTCCCCTCTTCCGGCGGAGAAGGATGGGGAGGAGGAGGCGGAGGAGGATGATGAGGAGGAGGAAGAGGAGGAAGAGGACGGCGTGCCTGCTACGGATGATGATGATGCTGATGATGATGATGATGATGATGCTGATGATGTTGATGATGATGATGATGATGATGATGATGATGATGATGATGATGATGATGATGATGATGATGAGGATGCTGATGATGATGATGCTGCTGATGATGGTGATGTTTGTTGTGGTGGGTGTGGTGATGATGATGGTGGTGATGGTGGTGGTGATGGTGATGACGATGACGATGCCGATAATGCTGCTGCTGCTGCTCCTGCTGCTGCTGCTGCTGCTGATGATGATGATGATGATGATGATGATGATGATGATGATGATGATGATGATGTTGAACCCGTGAGTAGTTCCTTCAGCCCTTCAGCCCTTGAAGGCCTCAAACCCTCAAACACCTTACCCAGTTCAACCCGTAACTCCTCAAAGCCTCAAGCTCAGAAGCCCTGATACTCTCAAACCCTGAAGGCCAGAAACCCTTAAACACCGAAACCCTCAACCCTTTAAACCCTTAAGCCCTTGAACCCCTAAGCAATGAGGCCTTGACTCACTGTTACGCCCTTAGCCCCTAAAACCTGAACCCTTTAAACGCTTAAGCCCTCAAACCCTTCCGCCCTGAAACTGTTAATCTCTAAAACCGTTGAACGCTGAAACCCTATTGCCCTTAAACATTTGAGCCCTTAAACCAGTAAACCCTGAAGCCCTTAAACCCTGAAGCCCTGGAGCGCTTACAGTAATATCCTTTGTACAAATTCCAAGACGGGTGATCATGTTAGCTTTTGGAATAAAGGTGCAGACATAAACATATTATCTGGTTTTGGGACATCCTAAAATCGCTCCACACTTGGAGTCATACAGAGACGTTATTTGGCCAGTTGGAATTCGTACCATATTGTCTTTTCGAGCTGGTTGGAAAATGTACCAGTCGGTTGGGATTAGTCCCAGTTGGTTGGAATTTGTACCGCATGCGGCGAAGACCCCCCAGGAGGGGTATTCAATTTGCGGAGCGCGCGTAGACTCACCAAAAGGTTCGGCGAGGGCTCCCCGAAGAGCCTGTTACCCTCTGCGCAGGCCGTGGTCTGGCCTGGGTGGGCCATGGGTAGGCCTTGGGTACGCCTTAGCTGGCCTTGGATCAGCTGTGGGTGGCCCTTGGGTAGGCCATGGGTAGGCCATGGGTAGGCCATGGGTAAGCCCTTCGGTAGGCTCTTGGGTACGCCTTGGGTAGGCTCTTGGTGAGCCTCTGGTAGGCTTTGGGTACGGCTTGGGTAAGCCTTGGGCAGGGCTTGGGGGGAGGCCCTGTGTAGACTTTGGGTCGGCTTTGGGTAGGCTCTACGCAGACTCTGGGGATGTCCTCGGCTGGCCTTAGGTGGGCTTGCACTAGGGGCCCTCGTATGAGCCCTGTTGGAGGCGCAGTACGAGTCCAAGGTGGACTCCTGGTAGGCATCCTTGAAGGAGTCCTGAGTCCAAGTAGGATGACTTAGTAGGAATCCTTGTGCCAGTTCCAGTGGGCGTCCAACTGCGAGTCCTAGTTCCTAGTTTGATTCCCGGCATGAACCTGTACATGCCTCCTGATCGGGGTCCTCATAGGAGTCTTACTTGGCCGCCTAGTAGGATTCCTGGTCGGCTTCCTACTATGGCTGCAGCCCGGGTAGGGGACGAAGCCTCCTAGCGATTGTCACGTGTGCGCACGGGTGACCCTTTGCCGGAGTGACTTCTGGTGCGGTCCCACAGTCTAGGCCTCCTGGATGGGGTCGGAGTAGATGGAGTCGGAGGATCGTGCCGCATCGCCGATGCATCGGCGATGCAGCGGAGATGCATCGGCGATGCGGCTCGATGTGGGGCCCAATATTCTCCACGCCGACGTCGCGGATGTACCGCCGACGTCGCCAGTGCATGGCCGATGCATCGCCGATGCATCGGCATCGTCGATGTATCGGCGATGCGGCGAGACCCTCCGACCCCATCTGCCCGGCGGCCTCTGCACAGGGGTCCGCGTCGTCCCGTGGCCGTCTCTGCTGTCCTGCGGGGTCCGCGGGCGGGGCACCCGGGGCTCGCGTGGCGCCCCGTCGACGAGTCGACGAGGAGGAGGAGGAGGAGGAGGAGGAGGAGGAGGAGGAGGAGAAGGAGGAGGAGGAGGAGGAGGAGGAGGGGGAGGAGGAGGAGGAGGAGGAGCAGGAGGAGGAGGAGGAGGAGATGAGGAGGAGGAGGAGGAGGAGGAGGAGGAGGGCACATCACATAAGAAACTGGCCTGCCAGCAGGTGCCCCGCGGAACTTTCGGATCCCCCGATGGCCCCAAGGACCCACAGAAGCTTTGGGGCACCTGGGCGCCTCGAGACCCTCAGAGATCGACGACGTTAGTGTGCCCCGCGAGTTCCTTTTTTCAAACCAGATTTCTTGTCGTATGTGTGCCTGCTGTGTCTACCGTGTGTGCCGAGGTGGTCGACCTCCCACGCTCCGCCCCCTCCTCCTGTTCCTCCTGTCCTTCTTGCTGCAGCAGCCACGCCCCTAGCGCCACCGACCACGACGTTCCCTCGGCGGATACGCCGCGTCGCCGCGGGTCGCCTCGGCGCGTGGTCGCGCGCTGACCGCAGGACTGGCTGGCGCATGTGGGCCCCCACCCCAAATCTCACATAGCGGCGGGGGGGAGGGGCAACAAACGCGTCTGACGGTTCAAAGTCCCCCCCCCTCTCGCCAGAGAGACGCCAAAGGGTCCAACGTCGAAGCCCCGCCACCATCGTGTCTGACGGGGCCCGTTAGACCCCCCCCCCGAAAAGAGACCCCCCCTCCATTAATTATCAGGCGATCGCAAACATGGATCAAGGGGGCGTGGATTAGGGACGGGTCTTGTTTCCATGGGAAATCGCGGATCCCGCCGCTGAGCGAGGCGGTACGAGCCGCATTTTGGGGAGGGCGCCTCCCCCGATCCATGGAGATTTTTTGGCGACCGCGCGCCAAATCCATGGGTCGCTAATCCCTGTTTGCGCGCCCCCGAAAGGATGAGGCCCTGCGCACAGCGCAGCGCCCACGCGCCCCGCCCAAGGCCAGTCCACGCTGCAGCCCTGGCCAGCTCTTGCGCCCAGGCGGGGGCGAATCTCACTGGGCCCCTGGGCCTGCTATACTGATCTTGCGCCCGTCCTAGGCAGGCCCCAGGCGGCGGCGACTGCGAGTATTCCTCCGTGCGCTCCTCCTAGGGCCTCTCAAGCAGGTCCGCCCCGCGGGAGGCACATGGCGGTGCTCGCCCGGGGGCGCGTGTCAGTGGTGCCCGCCTGCACGCCGCGCCAGCACGCAGCGCGCGGCAGCGCGCGTATGCATGCGCGCACGCGCGCTGGGTGGCTTTCGGAGAAGCCTTCGAAGCCCTCCACCGAAGTTTTCGAAGCCCTCCCTCGGGGTTCGAGCCGGGCCTATCTGTGAGTCGGCGGCGAGCGAGGGGGGGAGGAGTAAGAAGGAGAAGACCTTCTCAGGAGGCTCGGAAGTTCCCCGGCCTTCTGAGATGTTTCCTGAGCCTTCCCCGAAGACGCAGGAAACTCCTCAGAAGGCGCGGGGGGTCTTCCGAGAAGCGCCGCCTTCTTCTGAGCAGGCTTTCTCCTTCTCCTACTTCCCCCCCGTGCGCGCCGCCGCATGTGGTTTTCGGAGTCATGACTCGGGTCTCCGGCGGCCGTTTCGGGACGATCCGGGCACTCCCAGAACGCTCTCGGCGGAGCGCAGCTGCTGGCACGCATCCCGAAGCTGGAGAGCCGCTGAGAACCGACGAGACCCCCTGAAAACCTCGAACCTCGAACCCGAAACTTCTGATCAGGCCTTCTCCTTCTCACTGCCCCCCCCCTCCCTCGCCACGAGGAGGAGGAGGAGGAGGCGGAGGAGGAGGAGGAGGAGGAGGATGAGGAGGAGGAGGAGGCGGAGGAGGAGGAGGAGGAGGAGAGAAAGGAGGAGCAGGATCAGGAGGAGAGGAGGGAGGAGGAGGAGGAGGAGGATGAGGAGGAGGAGGAAAGAGGAGAGGAGGAGGAGGAGGAGGAGGAGGAGGAGGAGGAGGAGGAGGAGTCGTGGCCCTGCGGAGGCCGCCGCGCAGTGGGCCGAGGAGCGCCGGGCCATCGAGGCGGCGAGGGCGGCGCAGGCGGCGGCGCGTGCGGCCGAGGAGCAGGAGCTCACCCCTCGTCTCTCTCCCTTTTTGTGCTTTCCTGCCCTTCGTCTCTCGCCTTTTTTTTTTTTTTTTTTTTTTTTTTTTTTTTTTTTTTTTTTTTTTTTTTTTTTTTTTCTGTTTTGTCTCTCTCTCTCTCTCGCTCTCGCCTTCCCTCTCTCTGTCTTTTTTCTTTCTCTATCTCTCTCTCTATCTCTCTCTCTATCGCCTTCTCTCTGTGTATCCTTCTCTCTCTCTCTCTTTTTTTTTTGTTTTTTTTTTTTTTTTTTTTTGTTTTTTTTCTCTCTCTCTCTCTCTCTCTCTCTGCTTCTCACTTTCTCCCCCTCCTCAGAGCACTCCGTGGTGCCCCCCTCGGCGCCTCCTCTCCCTCCCTCCTTCCTCTCAGGCCTCCCCTGCTCCTGCCCTTTCCCTGCCGCCTCCCGCAGTGCCTCCGCGCAGTGCCCCTGCCGCCCCCGGCGCCCGCGGCCCTCCGCCCCCCGTGGGGCTGCAGAGATATTTCTCCTCCGCCCGCCGAGGCAGGGCTGGCGCCTGCCTTGGGCCGCCTGTGTGAACCCCCCCCACCCGGGCAGGCTGCTGCCCGTCCTCCCTCGCCCCGCCCCCCCCCTCCTCCTCCTCCTCCTCCTCCTCCTCCTCCTCCTCCTCCTATCCTCCTCCTCCTCTCCTCCTCCTCTCCTCCTCCTCCTCCTCCTCCTCCTCCTCCTCCTCCCTCCTCCTCCTCCTCCTCCTCCTCTCCTCCTCCTCCTCCTCCTCCTCTCCTCCTTCCTCTCCCCTCCTCCGTCCTCCTCCTCCTCCTCCTCCCTTACTCCTCCTCCATCCTCCTCCTCCTTCTCCTCCTCCTCCTCCTCCTCCTTCCCTCCTCCTCCTCCTCCTCCTCCTCCTCATCCCCATCCTCCTCCATCCTCCTCTCCCTCCTCCTCCCCTCCTCCTCCTCCTCCTCCTCCTCCTCCTCCTCCTCCTCCTCCCTCCTCCTCCTCCTCCATCCTCCTCCTCCGCCGCCTTCTCCTCCTCCTCGTCCTCCTCCTCCTCCTCCTCTTCCTTCTCCTCCTCCTCCTCCTCCTCCTCCTCCTCCTCCTCCTCCTCCTCCTCCTCCCTCCTTCTCCTCCTCCTCCTCCTCCTCCTTCTTCTCCTTCTCCTCCTCCTCCTCCTCCTCCTCCTCCATCCTCCTCCATCCTCCTCCTCCTCCTCCTTCTCCGCCTCCATCCTCCTCCTCTCCTCTCCTCCTCCTCCTCCTCCTCCTCCTCCCTCCTCCATCCTCCTCCATCCTCCTCCTCCTCCTCCTCCTCCTCCTCCTCCTCCTCCTCCTCCTCCTCCATCCTCCTCCTCCCCTCCTCCTCCCCCCTCCTCCTCCTCCTCGTCCTCCTCCTCGTCCTCCTCCTCCCTCCTCCTCTTCTCCCTTCCCCCTCCTCCTCCTCCTCCAGCCTCCTCCATCCTCCTCCTCCTCCTCCTCCTCCTCCTCCTCCTCCTCCTCCTCCTCCTCCGTTCCTCCCCCTCTTTTCGCCCCCGCGCCCGCCACTTCCGCCTTCCAGGGCCGCCTACGATCCGAGCCGATGCGGTGCGCTTTGCCGGCGTTGCGCTGCGCTGTCGTGGTCGTCGTCCCGCTCAGACCCGGCCCGCGACCCACCCGCGACCGGGCCCGTGACCCACCCGCGACCCACCCGCGACCCACCCGCGACAACACCGCACCACACCACGCCACGCCACACCACACCACACCACACCACACCACACCACACCACACCACACCACACCACACCACACCACACCACACCACACCACGCCACACCACACCACACCACATTGCACGCCCACGCACGCGCGCGAATGCCATCACTCAGACGCCGTCCGTCCCACAAGACCAGGTCCGACCGCGGGATTCGGCGGCGAAATCCGAACCCTACCCTCGCCGATCAAAGATTCAGGCAACCCGATGGGCGACGGTGGTAGGGACCGGGTTCGGAATTGGCGGAACACGTGGCGAAATCCGAACTCTACCCACGCCTCCCATCGATTCAGGAGAACTGATGGTTGGTGGGGGTAGGATTCGGATGCCGCCACCTAGGCATGGTCCTCGGCCACTTGCCTTACCTCCCCTGGCGCGGAGGCGCCCGACAACGAGGGAACCCGCCAGGCCCTGGTCCAGCGGATATCCTGCACCCGCTGCCACGATGCTCCGTGCCGGGTGGAGCGCTGCCTGGCGTACGTGGGTCAAGGGCCGCGGGCAGAGCGTGCTCGGGGCCACACCCGTGGACCTCAACCTTTACCCCTTTGACTTCCTCCAGGTTTTCCCTGGGTCCGGGGAATGGGA